ATATATATATATGTTTCTAAAAATAAATATGCTAAAAATCCACCTGCATTCCTACCGTGCGCCGACGGCTTAGTGGTTAGAAGCTCCGACTGACACCAATTCAGTCGGGTCTCGATCCTAGCTAGAGGCAACCGGATGTCTAGCCACACTGATGAGCTGTAAACAGCGAAACAGTCTGTCTGTGGATGACGTTATATATACATATATACATGCACACATATATATATATATATTGATGCATGTTTCATTAAATACTATAGACAAGTTTGTCTATTTATTTTAAGTAAATTCCTTTCATATTGTCTGATACGCTTAATAACATTATCACTGAAAGATGAAAGAAAATCACCATATTGATACATATTTTTTAATCCCATCTAAGCTTTCGGCTTACATAAGCCATTATCAAAGATGGCAATTACAGTACAATATATTAAACAATACACGGACAAAACAATAATGATTGTTGAGCTTCAGATTTATTGGTAATTTCCTTGAGTCTATGCATAATTTCCTCCAGTTGGTCCGGGGTAGTTATATCCTTTAGGTTATTGTAGATGTCCTGTCGGTTTTGCTGTTAAGAATTGTTCAGTTTTTCTTTGGCTATTTTTGATTATATTATTTAATGAAACATGCATCAATGGAAAAATGCTGCCTAAACACACACACACAATATATATATATATATATATATATATATATATATATATATATATTCAAATGAAATGATAACGAATCAAATATAAATTCAAACATTCATAACATTAATTTAAAAATATGATTCAATACAATAGTAGAATACTATAATTTATTATAGTATATTGCATTAGGACATGCATAAAACCGCTACGTAAATGCATTCATAATATGCATCGAAACATGAGTGCATTTAATATAGCGGTTTTACTCATGTGCTAATGTAATATCCTATAATAAGGTATATATATATATATATATATATATATATATATATATATATATATATGTTTGTGTGTGTGTGTGTTTGTGTGTGTGCGTGAACGCGAGTGTGTGCGACATATTAATAAATCCTTTGCTAAAAGATTGACTCGCTATCAATTACTTTCGAGATAAGGAAGAATCGTCCCTGTGGCCATTTTTATTTGGTTGTATATAAAAAAAAAAAGCATTTTCGTTCGCTTTTACAAATTCTTTGAATATTCCGTCGCTAGATTAAAAAAAAAAATCAATTTTTGCAGTGTCCTTCATTACATATACAAGTACACACATATCTCGCTCTTATTTTATGGAGCTTAGAAAGTAGGGTCGAAATGGACAGAAGAGTATATGTATGCGTGTGTGGCGATTTACGTGTATACGTATCTGTGTGTGTATGTGTGTGTGTGTGCACGCGCACGCGCACGCGCACGCGTATAGGGGCATTTTGTCTTTACGCTAAAAATGGCAGGCGATATATCTTATAAACGTGAATTGACCCATAAATAAGGTTTATTTTTTGCAAATCGCAAACATGAAATATTAATCAACACCACTCCACACATGCAGATGTTACATTATATATATATATGTATATATATATATATATATATATATATATATATATATATATATATATATATATGTGTGTGTGTGTGTGTTAATTCATTATCAATATATTATTAAATATTATACATCTATAAAATAAATGAAATGATATAAAACACATACATACGATACATGTATATAATAGAAAATAATGTATATATATATATATATATATATATATATATATATATATGTATATTATATTTGTATACTTTATATAAAAAATAAACGTAATACATACATTTATATATATGACAAAAACGAATATATATGTGTATATAATTTTATATTATTCAATTGCGAAATAAATGAAATTTATAAAAGAAAATGTGTTAATATATATGTGTGTGTATATACATAAAAAAAAAGTTATGTGTATTTATTATATTTATATATATTAAGATCAAAAATGAAAAATAAAATACGATATAACTAATAAAAAGATGAAAATTCACTTGATATATATGTACGTTATATATATATATATATATATATGTATATGTATATATATGATGTTCATATATATATATATATATATATATATATATATATATATATATATATATATATATATATATAAAATAATGGACATATATATATATAATTGTATATTATTCATTTACAAAACAAACGAAATTATATGAAATCAAATTTGTATATATATAATATATACATATATATAAAATATATATACCATATATATATTTATAATACAAACACACACCCACACACATATATATATAAATATGTAATATAGAGTAATATATATATATATATATATATTATATTCATATGCATTACTATATAAATGAAAAATATATAAATGATATATATCTAATATATGATGCTGAGCATATATATATATATATATATATATATATATATATATATATATATATATAAATGTGTGATTATCATATATCAGCCCGCCTGTTTATCCAGCGTCCAATGAGTCATCTGATTGCATGCCTAAAAAGATCTATGGATGTAAGTATTTTCGAAGCGTTTTACCCTTCCTTCCTTCCTTCCTTCCTTCCTTCCTTCCTTCCTTCCTTCCTTTAACTTCATTGTTTGCTTTTTTGTCTTCCGTCTTGCCATTTTTTCATCTTTCTTTATCTTATTGTTTTCTTTTTTTTCTGTCTTCTTTAGTTATGTTCTCCTTCTTCCTGCTTTCTTTCGTCAACTGCTTTTTTTTATTTTTCTTCCTTCATTCACCCTTTCTTTCATTCTTTTAATTGCGTTTTTATTTTTTCTTCCATTCCTTCCTTCGGCTCTCTTCTTTGTCTTCATCGATTGACTACTTTTTGTTCTTTCTTTCTTTCTTTCTTTCTTTCTTTCTTTCTTTCTTTCTTTCTTTCTTTCTTTCTTTCCCTGCTTATTTTTCTTCTTTATCTCTTTCTTCCTTTCTTTCTTTCTTTCTTTCTTTCTTCGCCTGCTTATTTTTCTTTTTTTCTTTCTTCCTAACTTTCGTTTTTTTTTCTTCTTTCTTTCGGCAGCTGCTTTTTCATTTTCCCCCATTTATTTTTCTTTCGTTGTTTTATTGCGTTTTTATTTTTTTCTACCATTCCTTCCTTTAACTGCCTTCTTTCTTCCCTTCTTTCTTTTCTGCTTTTTTGTTTTTCCTTTTTCTCTCTTTCCTTTCTTATTCTCTTTCTTTCTTTTGGTCATTTTATTTTCTCTTTCTCTCTTCCTTTATTATGTTCTCTTTTTTTTCCTTTCTTTCACTAAATGCCTTTTTCATTTTTTTCTCATTCTTTTTTTCTTTCTTTCTATAACTACGTTTTTATCTTTCTTTTCTTAGCTGTTTTTTAATTATTCATTTTTCTCTCTTTTTTCTTTTTTTTTATGCTATTATTTTCTTTTTTTTCTTTTCTTTTTCTCGCTTTCCTATTTAGGTTCTCTTTTTTTCCTTCTTCTTTTCATCAAATGCTTCTTCCTCATTCTTACCTTAACTCCGTTTTTATTTTTCTAGCATCTCTTCCTTATGTTTCTCTTCTTTCTTTTCTTCTTTTGTTGACTGCTTTTTTGTTTTTCATTTTTCTCTCCTTCCTTTCTTAAGTCCTCTTTCTTTTTCTTTTTTTTTTTACCTGTTGCTTTGCTTTTTCTTTTTTGTCTCTTCTTTACTGAAGTTCTCTTTTTTCTTTTCTTTCTTTAAATGCGTTTTTTCCCCCCATTCCTTCCTTGGATTCCTTTCTTTCTTAACAGGATTTAAAAAAAAAAAAGTATTTCTCTCTTCTCTTGCATAAGATTGCTTTCTTTCTTCATTCGTTTATTCTTTCCTCATTTATTTATTTCTTTTTTGCATAAATTTCAGTGTTTACTAGCTTCGGTAGAACAGTAGAAGTTAAAGTAGTCGACTATAGTTAACATCATTGAGTCAATGCGATCCTGTCCTTAGCTGCATATTTTGTGCTTCGCCAGGGCTCCATACAGTTTTGAATTCAGAGTTTTCCTTCTCCTAGACCGATTACTAACCAAGGCTATAGAACCCTGTTTGTCCTACTACAAGAAGCCATGAATATCATACTTGGTGTAGCATTGAAATCGACCTTAATCAGGATCATCGGTCAATGCGAACGATCCCTTTTTTATTAGCTGCATATTATTTGCTTCGCCAGGCTCCATACAGTTTTAAATTCAGAGTTTTTCCTTCTCCTAGACCGATTACTACCCAAGGCTATAGAACCCTGTTTGTCCTACTACAAGAAGCCATGAATATCATACTTGGTGTAGCATTGGAAATCGACCTTAATCGGGATCATCGGTCAATGCGAACGATCCTTTCCTTAGCTGCATATTATTTGCTTCGCCAGGGCTCCATACAGTTTTGAATTCAGAGTTTTCCTTCTCCTAGACCGATTACTACCCAAGGCTATAGAACCCAGTTTGTCCTACTACAAGAAGCCATGAATGTCATACTTGGTGTAGCATTGGAAATCTACTTTAGTCGGGGTCATCGAGTCAATGGGAACGATCCTTTTCTTTGCTGCATATTATGTGCTTCGCCAGGGTTCCATACAGTTTTGAAATCAGAGTTTTCCTTCTTCTAGACCGGTTGCTATAGAACCCATTCTATCTGAATGTTTACCCATAGCTGGTGGGAGAAGAGCTGGATTTATGTCTTTCATAACAAGGGTATTACCACGTAAGGGAATGTCATGAACTCGGCTGGAATTCGAACTCGTCTCTCCGATTCCTCAATCCGAGGCGCAATCCATTGCACCACCGCGCCTCCTTAAGGTAGAAGTCAGCAAAATAATTCTACACGTGTATTCCTAGAAAATCAGCGTTTTAACTCTTGCATTTGTTGTATTGTTTTGGATATCTATCTCTAACGCTTAATCTTATACCGGTTAAAAAATATTGAGCAAAAAAAAAACTGAACTCATTTAAATTGTAAAAATCTGCCAAAAAAACTTGCTTGACATCACTTAATAATGTGGTGCTTATGCATCTCCAGTTTTCGATATCCCATTCGTTTTATTTTCTCTCTTTCTTTTCTGGGTCATTATAATTGTTTTTACCTCTTCTTTCTTGTGTTTTTTCTTCCATTTTTTTCCTCTATTTTTCTATTTTATTCTCGCTTCTTTTCGTTCATCATCTTTTTCGTATCCTTTGTTTCAACCTCTGTTTTTATTTCTTTTCTTTCGACTCTACTATTGACTTCTTGTCCGCCATCTTTTCTCCAATGTTCTTTCGCCTCCACCCTTCCTTTTATTTTTTCTCATTATCTCTTTCTTTTCTATTTTTATTTTTTATTCCTTTTTTATTTTCTTTGAGCAATAGATTTCATCTCTTTTCTCACCATCTTTTATCGCTTTCTCTTCTGCCATTTCCGTTCCGTTATTTTTCATTTTCTCTTTTTCTTCCTCCATGTTGCGTTTCCTTTTCCTCGATCATTTTGCTCCTGTTATCATTCTCTTCACTCGTTCATTTATCTCTCGTTTTCATTCATTTTATCCTATTCTTTTTTCTTTTTTGTTTTACTTACAGTCTCTCATTCATTTCTTAATCTTTCCTATTACTTTCTCTCCTGGTTTTCTTCCTTTCTCAAACCGCCAATTCTTTTCTCGTACATTTATCGTCTGCAATTCACACTCTGTATTTATTTTCCGCTTTATTTAGCTATTTTTCTTTTCTAGAAATGGGCTCGTTAGCGTCCAAAGCTTTTGGAGATTTATTTATTTATTTATTTATCTTAGTTTTCCAATTTTTATCTTTATGAAGCAATTGGCGCCCTTTGGTACGAGGATGGGGTATGAATTCGCTGAAAAAGGGTGAAAAAGCAATTAATTGCATGTCCTCTTAAAATGGCAGAGAAAGTGAGAAAATAAGATAGAGAGGGTAGGGGAAATAGGACTTTTTTTCTGTATTAAGTTTGCTTGGGATGGTAATGCCGCGAAGGGAGGTAACAGTGCTTGGGTAAGTGGTGTGTGTTGGACAAGCTTGTTGCTGAAAAGGCTTCAGTTTGAACTATCCAAGTTAGCCATAAACAGCTTAGTAAATAAACCTGATGACTGTTTTCAGCGGGTTACATAGGCCGTTTACAAATGTCCTGAGATAGAAAACAATATTCCAGTCTTACACATAGAATCATGAGTCATCAGTAGACTTTTATTGAACATCGACTGCTATACAGAAGTCATATCCAGCGAAATAATCTAATCTAGTAAGCAGCACACTGGAAATTTCGCTGATATCTGGAAAACTATAACAGAGCTGGCATTTTATAAAGAACCTATCAATCGATATCACCGCAGGCAAGGCAGTACAACCCCTAGCACATAAGGGGTTACATGGTGTGGAGGAATTACGAACAGAAATATTAGTCATGAGGAGAAAGAGAAAAGAGCAATCAGGAGGACAATAGACAGCGATTGACTTTGCGGTTAAATTTTTATAGATTAAAGTTGGTTGGAGATCATAGAGTCGGGAGTGAGTTCCACAAGCGAGAAGTGCGAGATAGGAAACTGTTAGCATAGAAATTACGACTACGTCTAGCCTGCTCAACTATAAATTTATGAGATCTCGCCGCCAGTCTAGTGTTGCGCTTAAATTCATACAGTCTAGGTACCACAGCGAAAAGCCCATCTGAACAATTACCGTAAAGGTATTCAGAAGAAAGGCACAAATATGCAACCTTACGACGAGAGATAAATGAACGAGTGAAGAGAATGATAACAGGAGCAAAATGATTGAGGAAAAGAAAAGATGGAGGAAGAAAAAGAGTAAATGAAAAATGACAGAACGGAAATGGCAGAAGAGAAAGAAATGAAAGATGGCGGACAAGAGGTCAAAAGTAGAGTCGAAAGAAAAGAAATAAAAAACAGAGGTTGAAACAAAGGATAGGAAAAAGATGATGAACGAAAAGAAGCGCGAAGGTAATAGAAAAAGAGAGGGAAAAATAGAAGGAAAAACAGATCAGGACCAATAATATTGCAGATTTTTGTTTTGATGTCATCAAGGAGCTCCACGAAAATATCAAGGGCATCGAACCCTATATGGTAGCAATATTCTAAGTATGGACGAATAGTAGACTTATAGTTATGCAAGATAGATTCCAGAGAAAAAACTCGCCCAACACAGTAAACCTACCTTCTTAGTATCTGATCTAGCGATAGATTCAAGGAAGTCTTTTCACGTCATGTCAGCTGAGACCGTTAACCCGAGAAAGCGCAATAAGTCACTTTCTTGGAGGATAGCATCAGCCATGCTGATGGAAGGCAGAAAGAGGTCTTTCAGATGATTAACAGAGAAACGTTTAGTTTCGGAGGCGTTAAATTTGACAAGCCATCTTTTGCTCCAGTTAATGATGATCTCTGAGGTTGTTTTGTACATCAACTGCCAATTTGACCTTGTCCAACTGATCAGCCTTACTATCTAGGCAGGAGTAAATGGCAGTGTCGTCAGCATAGATACCAAGTTGAGAGTTTGTCATCGGAAAGGTCGTTAATGAAGATTAAAAACATCGTAGGACCAAGGATGGATCCCTAGGGAACACCTGCGTTAGTACGAAAGGATGTAGACGATTGGCCGTTCAGGACAACTTTGATTTTACGATTTGATAGGAACGACTGGATCAGCTCAAAAACGTGGTCGGAGATACCGTATCTTTTCAGCTTGTGGACCTGAATGATAAACCCTGTTAAAGGCCTTCAAGATGTTTAATGCTACATCCCGGGCTTCATCGTTTTTATCTAGAGTATGAGAGACTCTTTCAGTTGATTTGGAGAAGCAAAAACCGTATTGAATTTCTGAGAAAGATGATGAACCAATTCACCATTGATTAGGACCTCTAGGAGTTGCTCAAAAAGAGGCAGAAGGCTAATAGACCGATAGTTGGATGGGTCAGATAGTTCGCCAGAGTTCTTAAAAACTGGAACAACAGACGATGACTTCCACCAAACAGGAAAGCAGGAGGCAGCGAGGCATTTATTATACAGTTTAGAGAGAACAGGAGCCAGCTCGGGAGTATACTTCTTATTAACTATTACAGGGATACTATCGGGTCCACATGCTTTGTAGGAATAAAGGTTAGATGTTATAGTGGAACACACCTATTCTATTGTTAATAGACTCTCCCACCTATAATAAGTATGAGCAGTAAGAGTAACAAGTCAGTCGCTGAAGTCGCTCAGTGAGTTGGTCAGTCAGTCGATGTCGGACGACCGTTAGTCGGATACTAAAAGTATCAGCGACCACAACTAGATTTCTCTGCGTCATTACCTATTATATCAAGTTCCTAACGTTTTGTACGTCGAACCTGTTTTAGGACCGACTTAGTGAAATACAAGCCTCCACTGTGAAACTACTCTACAACATTAGAGATGATAGCCGAAAACATAGAAGGGGTTATATATATATATATATATATATATATATATATATATATCACTCAACAGAGAATCAGTTCTAAGTGAGAAGTTAGGCAGGGATATTCCAGATGAGTCAAGAATAGAGTTTGAGGATAATTTACAGGCAAAGCATTCAGCTTTAACAGCAGATGATGGCAACACCTCAAATCGATCGAAGAGTGCGGGGACTAGAGACCTTACACTTATTTCATGCTCTATTACAGAGACGCCGGTAGTCACGAGAGCCAAAGTTTTTATAGGGTATGCGGTGCCTCATTCTCTCAGCATGCAGGGACTTAGCTTTTTCGAGTACTCGTTTACATTTGTTACGAGCAGTAGCAAATAGGCACCTGTTTTGACGAGAGCTGGAAATAGTGGTTCCTGTGGCCGAGAATGCTGGCGTAAACCATGGAGAGGATTGCGGTTTCACCTGGTATTTCAGAGAAGGGATAAAAGCTTCCAAACCGGCTTTGAAAAGAAGAAACCTCAGTGGCGCAGTTTTCAATTGGGAGGTGAAATATAAGATAGATACGTTGGAATATTTATAAGCCTATCATTCGCCCTTGCTGCCGCTATCGGGTCTAGTGCCCCTGCTATATATTCTGAGATCCTTGACAAAATACAAAGAATCTGAAATGTTATTGGTCCTGACCTGGCATCTCGGCTTCAGTCACTTTCCCCACCGCCGTAACGTAGCTTTCCCGTGCCTTTTCTATAAATACTTTCATGGTAGGTATTTACTTCCCACTAAGACGAGTTCTGACACCAGGTCTTTTTTTTTAAGGTGGTGACCCGAGCGCGTACACCCGGGACAGGAATAAAAATTGCCCGTTGCCCCCGAAACCGTCGCTGGCCTCGTTGTGAGAAGTAATCCCTCTCTCTGATGCAATGAGAGGGCGCGGCACCGGGCAGCTATTCCCCAGGCCTTGGCACCTCCCAGTATAATTTTCATCAGTTGCGACTCTGCCCTTTGACCGAGTCGCCCCTAAGTGCACTCTGCCCAAAGACAGAGACGCAACCGAGAGATGTTAAATAATGTGTTACAAACCACTTCAGAGAGTGTTTTACTCTACTTTCACGGTAATCAACTTTGCTCTACGTTACCCCGATTTAAGAATTTAAGCGGGGTACTAGATAGGCGGCAAGGTCTCATCATTTTACACTTTAAATTGCTAATTTTAACCTTAAGTTCTTTGTTAACAGTTTGTTCTATCGCACTTCTCGCATGTGGAACTCACTTTCGACTTCTTGCTCTTTGTCAGCTTTGATCTTCAAAAAATTAAATGCAATACCAATTATTACTTTCTGTCTTAATTCTTGTTTTTATTGTTCTTTCTCTTCTTAATAGTGTTTTTTTTTCTCATATTCTCTTACACTTAGTAGCCGCTTGCATTTTAGTGGCTTTATTTCTTAGTTTGGGGTGAAATGAAACAAACAAAAAAAAACAACAAAAAACAAAACAAAACAAAAACGTGCATTCATATGATGTTAGGAAGGGCAGTCTTTGAAATCATCTTTGAAATCAATAAGATTTTTTTATAGTTTGTCACCGGAATTTATATTTTAATCTTAAAAACGAGAAAATATAAAGTTGCTCTATAAACGGTTGTCTGTAGCCTTTTCTTTTTTTAAATAAATAAAAAAAAAATATGAAAATTTTCAATTAAATTTTATTTTTTAATTAAAAATTTAATTAAAAAAAATATAAATATTATGACCCATCTAGACATCGATGAGCATGGTTCTCCACAGACTTCTTTTCTATGTATCGCCATGCGTCTTTTGAAAAGATAACAGAGCCGACTGTTGCCTCCTCCACGGTTTCGAAATTCAGAATTGTCCTCTTAGACTGGTTGCCATCAAAGGCTAAAGAGTTCGGTCTACCCTCCTATATAACCCACCTCTGTTGGCATGGAAAGAGGGGAGTATTGGATTTATGCCTTTCGCAAGTGCATTTGTGCGAAATTGACCGCAGCATCAGATTTTGGGGGCATTTTTATTCGGCTCCTTGAGCTAACTTGCCACCCCGATGACCACCACTCTACGCGCATAGCAACGAGAAATAATCAAATATTCTCGAAGCTTTATTTGAAAATTTATCTAAAATTCTAACAATATTATACACGAAGAAAATTGAATAAGATTTACTCGTTTTCTTCATTTTTTTTCGTTGATTCCACTTTTCCGTTCTTTCTTTCTTTCTATTTTGCATTTTTTCTTTCTCTTTTTCTTTATTCTCTATTCTCTGTTCTTTTTTTTATTCTGTATTCTCTTTTTCATAATCTTTATTCTGTATACTCTTCTTTCTTTCTTTCTATTCAGTAGTCTGATCTGTCTCTTTCTTTTTTCTTTCCTTCTTTTTATTATGCATTCTCTTTTCTCTCTTTCTATTCTGTATTCTGTTTTCTTTTTTGTTTTCGGTATTCCCTTCATTCTTTTCATTCTGTATTCTATCTTTCTTTCTATGACGAAGATTTTTTCTCTTTCTTTTTAATATTCTGATTTATCTTTTCTTTCTTTTGTTCTTTTCATTCTTTTCTTTTTCTTTCTTTCATTTTATTCTATATTCTGTTTTCTTTCTTTCAATTACGTATCTAATTCTTTTTTCTTTCATTCTTTTTATTTTGTGTTCTGATTTATTTATTTTATTCTGTATTCTCTTCTGTTTTCCTTGTTTCTTTCTTTCTTTCTTTCTTTCTTCTGATCGCCTTCTTTCTTTTTTCTATTCTATATTCTGATATCTTTCTTGATATCTTGATCTCTTTCTTTATCCTGTTTTCTTTCTTTCCTTTTATTCTCTATTCTTTTTTCTTACTTTTTAGTTCTATTCTTTAATCCCTCCTCTTATCTTTCTCTCTTTCTTTCTTTCTTTCTTTCTTTCTTTCTTTCTTTCTTCAGTGCCTGCTTTCTACATACCCTTTAACACTTTTTCTTTCTTTCTTTCTTTCTTTCTTTCTTTCTTTCTTCAGAGCCAGCTTTCTACATACCCTTTAACACTTTTTCTTTCTTTCTTTCTTTATTTCTTTCTTACTTTCTTTCTTTCTTCCTTCAGTGCCTGCTTTCTACATACCCTTGAAAACTTTTTCTTTCTTTCTTTATTTATTTATTTCTTACTTACTTTCTTTCTTTCTTTCTTTCTTTCTTCAGTGCCTTCTTTCTACATACCCTTTAACACTTTTTCTTTCTTTCTTTCTTTCTTTCTTTCTTTCTTTCTTTCTTTCTTTCTTCAGTGCCTGCTTTCTACATACCCTTTAAAACTTTTTCTTTCTTTCTTTCTTTATTTCTTTCTTACTTTTTCTTTCTTTCTTTCTTTCTTCAGTGCCTGCTTTCTACATACCCTTGAACACTTTTTCTTTCTTTCTTTTTTCTTTCTTTCTTTCTTTCTTTCTTTCTTTCTTTCTTTCTTTCTTCTGATCGCCTTCTTTCTACATACCCTTTAACACTCTTTCTTTCTTTCTTTCTTTCTTTCTTTCTTCAGTGCCTGCTTTCTACATACCATTTAACACATTTTCTTTCTTTCTTTCTTTCTTTCATTCTTTCTTTCTTTCTTTCTTCTGATCGCCTTCTTTCTACATACCCTTTAACACTCTTTCTTTCTTTCTTTCTTTCTTTCTTTCTTTCTTCAGGGCCTGCTTTCTACATACCCTTTAACACTTTTTCTTTCTTTCTTTCTTTCTTTTTCTTTCATTCTTTCTTTCTTTCTTTCTTTCTTCAGTGCCTGCTTTCTACATAACCTTTAACACTTTTTCTTTCTTTCTTTCTTTCTTTCTTTCTTTCTTTCTTCAGTGCCTGCTTTCTACATACCCTTTAACACTTTTTCTTTCTTTCTTTCTTTCTTTCTTTCTTTCTTCAGTGCCTTTTTAACCTTTAACACTTTATCTTTTTCTTTCTTTCTTTCTTTCTTTCTTTCTTTCTTCAGTGCCTGCTTTCTACATACCCTTTAACACTTTTCTTTCTTTTCTTTCTTTCTTTCTTTCTTTCTTTCTTCAGTGCCTGCTTTCTACATACCCTTTAACACTCTTTCTTTCTTTCTTTCTTTCTTTCTTTCTTCAGTGCCTGCTTTCTACATACCCTTTAACACTTTTTCTTTCTTTCTTTCTTTCTTTCTTTCTTTCTTTCTTTCTTCAGTGCCTGCTTTCTACATACCCTTTAACACTTTTTCTTTCTTTCTTTCTTTCTTTCTTTCTTTCTTTCTTTCTTTCTTTCTTTAGTGCCTTTTCTTTCTTTCAGTACTTTTTCTTTCTTTCTTTCTGCTTTCTTTCTTTCCTTTCTTTCTTTGTCCAGTGCCTGCTTTCTACCCTTTAACACTTTTTTTTCTTTCTTTCTTTCTTTTCTTTCTTTCTTTTTTCTTTATTCAGTGCCTGCTTTCTACACTTACCCTTCTTTTTCTTTCTTATTTTCTTTTCTTTCTTTGCTTTTCTTTCTTTCTTTTCTTTCTTCAGTGCCTGCTTTCTGCATACCATTCAGACCACTTTTTCTTTCTTTCTTTCTTTCTCTGATATAACACCATGAGACATGATGCATGCTACACATTCAGACCACTTTTCTTCTTTCATTTTCTGCTGCTTTCTTTCTTTCTTTCTTTCTTTCTTTCTCTGATGATAACACCATAGGACATGATACGTGCTACACATTCAGACCACCTTTCTTTTCTTTCTTTCTTTCTTTTCTTTTTTCTTTCTTTCTTTCTTTCTTTCTGCTTTCTAGTGATAACACCATAGGACATGATACGTGCTACACATTCAGACCACTTCTTTCTTTCTTTCTTTCTTTCTTTCTTTCTTTCTTTCTTTTCTTTTTTCTTTCTCTGATAGTAACAACAGGACATAGCTGACATTCAGACCACTTCTTTGCTACACTTTCTTTTCAGTAACCACATTTCATTCAGACCACTTCTTTCTTTTCTTTCTTTCTTTTTCTCTGATGATTAGGACATGATTTCATTCAGACCACTTCTTTCTTTCTTTCTTTCTTTTCTTTCTTTCTTTCTTTCTTTCTTTGATAACAACACGCAAGACATGATACATGCTACACATTCCAGACCACTTCTTTTCCTTTCTTTCTTTTCTTTCTTTCTTTTCTTTCTTTCTTTCTTTTTTTCTTTCTTTCTCTGATATAACACTAAGACACACCATAGAACTTTTTTTCTTTCTTTCTTTTCTTTCTTTCTTTCTCAGTTCTTTCATAGGACATGATACTTACTACACATTCAGACCACTTTCTTTTCTTTCTTTCTTTCTTTCTTTCTTTCTTTCTTTTTTCTTTCTCTGATGATAACACCATAGGACATGATCCGTACTACACATTCAGACCTTTCTTTCTTTCTTTCTTTCTTTCTTTCTTTCTTTCTTTCTTTTCTTTCTCTAATTAAGACATAATACATTACACATTCAGACCCTTCTTTCTTTTCTTTTTTTTTTTCTTTCTTTCTTTTTCTTTCTCTGATGATAACACCATAGGACATGATACGTACTACACATTCAGACCACTTTTTCTTTCTTTCTTTTCTTTCTTTCTTTCTTTCTTTTTCTTTCTTTCTCTGATGATAACACCATAGGACATGATACGTACTGCATTCACATTCTTTTCAGACCACTTTTCTTTCTTTTCTTTTCTTTCTTTCTTTCTTTCTTTCTTTCTTTCTCACCAATGCTTACCATAAGACATGATACGTGCTACACATTCTTTTCTTTCTTTCTTTTTTTCTTTCTCTTAATAACACCATTTTCTTTTTTTTCTTTCAGACCTTTCTTTCTTTCTGGACTTTCTTTTTTCTCTAGTAACACCATAAGACTTCTTACGTGCTTCTACATTCAGACCACTTCTTTCTTTCTTTTTTCTTTCTTTCTTTCTTTCTCTGATAATAACACCCATAGGACATGATACACGTGCTACACATTCAGACCACTTCTTTCTTTTTTCTTTTTTCTTTCTTTCTTTCTTTCTTTCTCTGATGATAACACCATAGGACATGATACGTGCTACACATTCAGACCACATCTTTCTTTTCTTTCTTTTCTTTTTCTGGTTTAGAGACTTTCTTTCTTTTTTCTTTTTTCTTTCTTTCTTTTTCTTTTCTTTCTTTTTTCTCTCTGATAACACCATAGGACATGATACGTGCTACACACTGACCACTTCTTTCTTTCTTTCTTTCTTTCTTTCTTTTCTTTCTTTCTTTCTTTCTTTGATGATAACACCATAGGACATAATACGTACTGCATTCAGACCACTTCTTTCTTTCTTTCTTTTCTTTTTTCTTTCTTTCTTTCTTTCTTTCTTTGTTATGATAACACCATGGGACATGATCACATGCTACACATTCAGACCCTTCTTTCTTTCTTTCTTTTCTTTCTTTCTTTCTTTCTTTCTTTCTTTCTTTGATCTTTCTTTAACACCATAGAGACATGATACGTACTACACATTCAGACCACTTCTTTCTTTCTTTTCTTTCTTTTCTTTCTTTCTTTCTTTTTCTGATGATAACACCATAGGACATGATACATGCTACACATTCAGACCACTTCTTTCTTTCTTTCTTTCTTTCTTTTTTCTTTTACGTCTTTCTTTCTTTCTTTCTTTCTTT